CTGCTGCATGAGGCCAGCAGGAAACATTCTGCACCTTAATGAGCTACAGAACTCTGACAGAACCAGAACAGCGAGGATAGGAGCTGATATCAATCAGTCATGTGTTGAGATTACTTTATGTAGGCCACATGCATGAAAACAACAGATAGTTAGGCTAAATGCTAGCTTAATTAGCTTAGTTAGCCAATGTTTACTGAGCTTTAGCCTCATTCTAGTATTGTTTATCAGGCTAAACTAAGCCACAGCTGTTCCCCTGGTTGTTCTGATCCGAACCCATTACATGTTAATCTGGGAATGATGTCACGCCCACTTCAACGATAGCAGCAAGTTATTAAACCAGTGGGATTGGCTAATTGTAGTGCTTAACAATTAGGCTAACTACTATTAGCAAAGTAATGGCTTTCTCTGCAATATTCTATGTATTCAGAGTAGAACATGTTTACACATAAAACTTGCACAGTTACCTGACATAATGTAGCACAAATAATACATTACTTATTTCTGCAGCTCAATTTGCACACATGGTAGCCATATTGAGGTCTGGGGCCCCTGCCTTTCCAGTAAGAATTTCGTCTTCTGGGGAGGTACTAGTAGTGCAGGTCCTAATCAAAGCAAGCAGTCCCAGACCATCATGTGACCACCACCATGTTTGACTGTAGGTATTATGTTCTGTTTCTGACATTCTGCTCTCGTTTTACATCAGATGTAACGGGATGCATACCTTTTCCACTTTTGTTACATCAGTCCACAGAATATTTTACCAGAAGTCTTTAAGATGTTTTTTGTAATTGTGAGACGGGCCTTTGTGTTCTTGTTGATCAGCAGTGGTTCTGGTCTTGGAACTATCCCATGGAGACCATTTTTGCCTCCATGTTGAATCATGACCTTAACTGAGGCAGTGAGGCTTGCAGAGCTTTAGACGTTTTTCTGGGTTCTTCTGTAACCTCCTGGATGATTTGTCAATGCTCAGTTGGAATAATTTTGGTAGGTCAACCAATCCTGGGAAGGTTCATCACTCTTCCACGTCATCTCCATTTGTGGATAATGGTTGCAGCACACAGCGCTATTAAACCCCATATTCCTACCTTCTTTCTCCTCGACAGGAATTATCCCTTCTCCTATTCCTGCATCTACCTTCGTCCTCCTCATTTACTCCTCCAGTACAACACAGTCCTGCCACCTCCTCCTCCAATTAATCTGATGCCTCCTCATTGTTTAGTCTCTCCATCCAGCTCCTCCACTGCTCCCCCAATACTTCATTGAGGCTCCTATAGAGATGGTAATGTCACATGAAGAGGAGGTTATATTGATCAGCATTTAATGAGACACACTTAGATGTTTCCCAGACCTCTCCTACCATCCTTCTTCCCCTCCTCCTTGTTATGGTGCTTCTCACCTTATCATTTTAAGTCTTGGTTTATTTCTTTTTTTTGTGGGGGGGGCCCAATGATAGGATGAACAGATGAGTTAGAAGAGAAGACACAATGATAGACATCGAGGAGTTGTGTTTACCTGGAAAGTCAACCCTGAAATGGGACCCTGACAGCTGGCCAACAGGTGGCCACTGACAGACCCTCTCTATTCAGTGTACCTGGAACAACCAACACACACATACAGACATGCATGCATGGACACACACAGACACACTCCTCAGCAACCCACTGTCAGGTGAAGCAGGCCGACCAGGAGAATGGTGGCGGGTAATGCATTTATGTACGTGTGTGTGTGTGTGTGTGTGTGTGTGACAGAGGGATCCCTAGTGTACACCTGCCTGATGATCCCCTCCATGACAGAGTAATGTTATAGCAACCCCCACCCTCCCAATATGGTCCTATACACCAGCTGGGCTGAAACTGCCAGACCTCCCTTGTCTGTCTGTCTCTCTCTCTGTCTGTCTGCAGGTTTGTTTAGGTCCACATTGGAAGCCTTCATCTTGTGTCTTTTTCCTGCTTATGGAGCTTTACACCTCAAACTTCAACATATTTTATTAGGATTTTATGTGATAAAGTGGAAAGGAGAGGATTCATGGTTTCCAACATCCTTCCAAATAACAATCTGAAAAGTTTGATGTGCATTTAATCCTCCTCATCAATACTAATAACACTAATACTAATAATGCTCACCTTTACCACAACCTCCTCCCTGACCTGTCTGCTGTGTTCCTTGGTCTTCATAATGCTGGTTGTTCTCCAATGTTCTCTAAAGAACCTCTGAGACCAGAACCAGAACAGCTGCAGTTAGACTCGGGTCAGATTAAACACCGCTGGTATCAGCAGGCATTTGTGGTTGTATCATGACAAAACATCTAGATTTACTAATATGTTTGCAGGGCACTTCACTGCAGGAAGACATGCTGGTTATGAAACATCTCAACATTATCAGTTTGACTTTGTGTCAGTTTTTCCCTTTGACCTTTGACCTGCACAATCCTGAGGAGTTTGGGGTTTGTGCATGTTGATCATTTATTATGTTCTTCAGATTATGTCCTCATTGGTTCATTCCTTTGTTTTATTCTAGTGCTCTTATACATCCAGTTATTCCTGTTAGATTCCTACTAGATTCTTAAGTTTCTGTTCAGCTCTGTATCCTGGTAAATTAGCCTCCCTCTGTCAGCTGCTCTACCTTTTTCTCTATCTCAGCTGCAGCTCATTTCCTCTGATTAGCTTTTCTCCCTCCTGCCTCAGTATTAGATCAGCAGTTCGCTGCTGGATTCTTCCTGTTCTCCTGTTATGCTGCTCATTTTTCCATGCTGGTCCGATGTCCTTTTTCCCTTTGTGTCAAACAAGTAAGTTTTCATTTTCTCTATTTTAAAGACTGCATATTTCAACTTCCTGACTCCACTTTTGCCTGCATTTGGGTCTATCTAAAAAGCAAACAAGGAACAAGGAGAACAAGGAATTCAAAGCAAATGTTGGGGTTGATGTTCAGGTCGTTGTGTTATTTTTGTGACATACAGCATTTCTCTGAAGAGGCTTTGCAGGAAAAAGAGTATAGCCCCCCCACACACACACACAATCACTTCAACAATAGCTTTTCTCTGGATGCCCTCCTAAAACCTCTCTGATGGTAATTCTCTCTCCCTTCTCCATGCATACATCCAGCCTGTTTGGTTGAATCTCACAAGAATTGTTTTCATGGAATCGCTTCATGATTATCACACAATGCTCACTAGGAACCAAAGACAAGAATAGTGATGATCATTGAGTCAAACAGCTAACCAGGAACATAGAGTGCTCAAAGCTTTCAGACTAATGTTTTTTTTTATGTTAAAGTGGTGTACTTCAAGGTGCTCTGTTTGGTTAGCTGTAATTTCAATTACATGGTAATGTGCATTTGGTCTTTTGGTTTCTGTCATGGGGAATTGGCTTTCTCACATCCTTCATAAAGAATGTTTATTTCTTGCAACTTCAAATCACAGATATCTCTGGTCTTTCAGAGTGCAATGCAATGCGCTCTAGCTCTAATCTACATAAATGTACAAATATATGTGTGGATTACGCCTTAAATTCATGCAGAATTCTGAGCAAGCTGCATCAGTGCACAGAAATGGAAGGTCTTCCATTGCACATTTATATGGGGTTTGCACACATTTACCATCCAATTATATTCATACAACATCCCTTTGGATGCATATTAAAAATTCTTGCCTTTTATGGCTCTTTTAGAATTGTAATGAAATCTTGAAGTGGCTGGTAAGTACAATTAGTGAAAAATAAAAGTTTATTGTGGTCTAAAAACAGCCCCAATTTTCCACTTTACACTTGGGCACAACAAAAATAAATTGTATAGCATTTAGACGTTGTAATGTAATATATTTAAGCTATGTAATCACAGGTAGTCCTTCATATTTCCAGTATTACACAGACTAATTATAGTCTGAGGAATGTGGCTCTCCCACATCGCATGTCTTTTTATTGTTCTTAATGAAATGGTCAGGTTCCCCCTCCTTGTTTCACTTTGTTCTGTCAGTTAGTGATGGGTCAACAGGGATGCATAGCTGAGGGGGGGGGTTATTGTGTTTGCTGTAAGACAAAAAGGACTAATCATTGAACAAGGCATGTCTGGACTTGACTGAACCGGGGAGCGGCTGCTGGAAGTTTCCATTCAGTTGGGACGTAGTGATGGGTCATTGTTACTTGGCATTAGACATGGAGAAATATCAGTTTATGAGCAGGTAGTTGTTTCTGGTCCAGAAAAAGATTTACATTATTTCTTTGCTTAATCTCAAAACTTACAGGGTGGAGCACAAAAACAGATTGTTACCTGGAGCGTTTGTTCTTCTGAAATAAACACAATGGTCTATTTATTCATGCTGGACATACTGACTGGTTACATTACACGTCAGAGCCAGGAACCAGCATGATCCTGTCCCAACATTATGCTGCGTTCCATTAACCTCCAAAGCTGGAACTGGGAAATTGGAGTTTACGTCATCTCCAAGTTGTAGCGCTCCAGTTCCCTGCCTTTTTTTGTTCGTATTGCTAATACCTGTGGAAGCCGTCTTACAACAATAACACTGTTCTACGTGGTATTTCGTGCATATAAAAACATCTTTTCTTAAACACTGAAAGTAGAACGTGTAAAACTAACTAAATGTTGTATAAATAGTAAAGAACTGCTGCAAACAGTCACAGTGAGAAAGTTTTACTACTATTGATGCGAGTAGCCATCACCAGCTCTGGTGTACATGCTGGACCTTGGTTCCTATGGTGACCGTTCAATGACTACTAAAGTCAGGTTAGCTGAATTTCAGGCACCACACACATAACTGCTCATCAAAAACATAGAGATTGCAGCTTAGATGGTGCAGCAGCATAGGTGATTCTTTGTATTGAAGAATGATCAAAGATTTTACAGTTGGTTTAAGCTTTAGCAGAAGCAGATGATTGACTGCACTGACTTGTGTTCAATGCTGTGATCACTTGACTCTGAGCTACAGCCCAGGACTGATGTCTAAAGGCGTCAGAACCTTCATCATGTAACTGACGTATGGACATTGGGCCTAGTGGCTCTAGTGGTCAGGGAGTGGTACTTATAAGACAGTGACCTGCAGAGCAATGCTGTGGTTGTGAGTTTGAGCCTCATCTGGAGCAAAAATGTTTTATTTGTTGGGGAGGAACAAAGAAACTTGAAACATGACAAAAGGCTGATTCATAACAGGTGGTGCTCCAGACGTAGTGCTTTTCATTGAAGATTCATCGAAGGTTTCCTCGTCAGCTAATGTGTTATCTGTAGTTAATAAGGAAGACCTGAGTTTAATGGTGTGGTCACTTGAGCTTGAACAAAAGCCGATGGTTGGGGACCGTGGTAGAGAGTAGGGTTACCAACTCCTTAAAATATAGAATTGTCCAGAATTTTAAAGTTGAGGAGTTCTGTATTTTCAGTACAGATCTATATATAGTAGATGACAATGATTGGTAAGCTGTGGCTCAAAGGAGACATTCTCCCAACTTTAATCAATCAGCATGTTACATTTTTCATCAATCCAAACATCGAATCCATCACTCATCTTTTGTGGGTTACAGACTATGTCTCCTATTGGCTAAATCTGATTAACAAAAAAGCAGTGTGTGGACTGGGAAGTTAATGCTGGTAGAAAACCAATAATGCTAAGCACAGCCCCAACCATCACTTTGTTCTAATTATTTGAATTTCAGGCATCCAAGCCTTAGTTCTCATGATGAAAATACAGACAGTTTAATTGGATCAGACATGTCGAGCTCAAGGCCTGCGGGCCTCATCTGGCCCACAATGCAACTGTGTCTGGCCTCCCATTTATGACATGTTAGTAGGTTGCATAGTGCTCTTATCTAGTTGCATTAATTATTCCACAAAGGACCAGAACTACTCGTGGCTGGACAGGAAGTGTCTGGGAGTGTTTGCTGCAACAAGGAAACTTGTGGCACCTGATGGGTTCCCTTGTGAAACATTGGTTTTAATATGGTTTATACCAACAGCGTTTGTTCCTGATTACTACTTCATTTACAGAATCTCTATACAGATATTGAGGTTTTTTTTTGTGACCCCTATCAATTAGGGGGAGATGCTCACACCAGCATGAGGAATGATGGAAAGTTTCTGAAAATTGGTTGCATGATGCAGATTTATTAAACAATCATCATGCACTGAACAGGCTCCAGTGGTGCAATCGGTCAGCGCGTGGTGCTTATAAGACAGTGACCTGCAGAGCAATGCTGAGGTTGTGAGTTCAAAGCTCACCTGCAGCAACATATTTTACCCTGGGGTTAAAGAAGAGGTGCAAGAAACAACCACAATCTCACAGTGTTTATAAGACTGTGACCTGCAGACCTATGCTGATGTTCAAACCTAAATGACGTTTTCAAGGTCTGTCTCTTTATAAATGTACCATACACCACTGAAAACGGCTTAGAAATATTTTTTCCTGAAATGTACACTAGAAACAGAGAAGCAGATGTGGAGTTTTGTACTAAAAATTTATAAAAGATTTCCCAGATGGCTTAACTTAACTAGCCATAGCAGGTGATTAATGGAGACATTGTGAGTTTTGTGTTTTAATAATTTCATTTTTAATAAAAGGTTAAGAAGAGTCATTACTTCCATCCTATAAATCTCACATATGAGCATGCAGGGTCTAGTGTGTAGACCTTTAAGACTTATAGAAAGCAATGAGGAGGTTTGGACAGTATAAAACAGCTTCGGGCTATAGCTTCCTCTGTCCAGTCCATCTGACTGACTGGGACAGAGCAATGCTGAGGGTTGTGGGTTCAAGTCTCACTGGGAGCATTTAACTTTTAACATGGGATAATAAAAATGTTTCACCACCAGCCTGATTCTGATTTATACTATGAGACGTGTTCACTGCAAACGTTGTGCTAATGTCAAGTAAAGCACCAACCCTCAAAAAAAAAACTGGAGGGTATTTCAGGAAGTGGCTTACAGAAAAAGAGGAAACTCAAACTTAGGTTCTCTCTCTCTCTCTCTAGATAGATAGATAGACAGAGAGAGAGCTTCTGGAGAACATGTAGGAAAACATGTGACAGTACAGTATGTTGGCCAACTCATAAATAACAACATGCTTCAGTTCTCAGACCATTCGCTGCACTGTGAGGAACACGTGATGAAGAGGACACCACTTCTATAAAAATCAGAAACTTGTCATTTGTGTTGGCCTTTCTCTTCAGTGCCACCGCTGGGTCAAAATCTCCAGACATTATTCTTTTTAAATATTTTTTTTGCAGCACTAGAGGCCTTTATGTTTTCATTTTTCCAACGGTAGGTAGACAGGAAAGAGGGCAACGAGAGGGGGAGACATTCGGCAAGGGTCGCCGGGTCTAGGACTCAAACCCAGGACAGCCGCATCCAGGACTATAGTCTCTGCACGTGGTCACACGCTTAACCTCTGTATCACCAGCACCGTGCCCCAGACATTCTTATCATTAAATGCCTGCAAATGTAATGAGCATCTATCTTTGTTTTATGTCATGTAAGAAAGAGACAGGTGTTACCAAGAAAGCACAGCTGTCTGAGAACAGTCACCACAGCTGACCCTAACCCTTTGCCAGTCTAGAAGTCAGCATTGGCTGAAAAGTAGTCGTTAAGGGTAGGCACAGAACCAAGCAGCGATCTTAGATCTCAGCTGAAGTTCAGTCAGCAAACATAGAACCTCTCACCATAAAACTACCAGTGGACTGGTTAGTGTTGCAGCAGATGCAGTGCTTCATTTTGAAGATTCATCAGAAATCTTAAAGTTGGCTGACATAGCAGCTCATTCACAGCACAATCATGACTCCGTGGTCTGATCCCGCGGCTTCACAGCAAATCCACAGGCTCCAGTGGCACAAACAGCCAGAGCGGTACTTTTATGACAGTGACCTGCAGAGCAATGCTGAGGTTGTGAGGTCCAGTCTCACCTGGAGAAAACCAATTTATATATAAAAGAGGTGACCCAAGAAATTCAATACTATAATACTGATTACTCAACAGAAAGCTCAGTGGTTATTTAAGCTGCAGAAACGGTAAAATGTATTCTAATTATCAGTTGAAGGAGAAACCTTCATGGGTTACATTTAGGCTTTAACTTCACTGAATACAAAAGCAGATTTTTCTGAGCAAATATTTTCCTTCATTCACAAACAGTATCTCAGTCCATTTATTAATATCTCATTATTTGAATATGTCTGTATACATTTAAATAGGCAATAGAACTCTTTCTTCTTTGCATCGTTGCACTGACCAAACCATGCCGCCCTGGGCAGAACCTCACATTGCCCATATAAGATAATAAATTACCACTGCCTCCATAGCAGGAAATCTGGGCTGAAACACATATTGAAACTGAAATCAATAAACATTTTTGGAAAGGAGTTTTAATATTCCAATCCTTGCATTAGGTGGAACTGTCTTTCCTACCTCTTATCTCTCAAAAATACCAGAAAACGTTCTGTTGTTGGGTTTGAAACAACTGCTTTTCTCCTAAGTGAAAATGCCTTTTCATAAAGAGTTTTTAACTTATTTTGAATTTGTGTAATCAGCTAATTCTGGTGAGGGCAGACCTCCCAAACAGACCTGAGAGGAAAAGTTTGTAGGAGAAAGCAGTGAAAAATTCCACAATGACCCCAATAGGTCACCAGCTCTGCATGAACCTCAGTCAATACGTTTAAATTGATTAAGGCTAAATCAACAGAGGGTCACTTCCTCTCATTCCTTATCTGTAGACATCTGTAAACTCTGCGTTGGTTTGTTCATGTTTTAGTGAAGATCTGCCTGTGTGAGGTGGAATGAACACACTGTTCAGGACATACATGACTAGGACTCGTTAGCAGTTTAATCTGTGACTCTACAATCTGCTTACTGCAGGTCACCAGAGTCAATAATGGCTGGATGCTGCTCTTCCTTTAGATAAGTGTCCTCCCTCTGTGGTTCCCTCTATGTGGACTGCAGTGACAAAGCACAGATTTGGTAACGGAGCAAATGCCAATAAACATCCTAGTATTGTATATCGGAGCCTTTGTGTGACGGTGGGGAGTGTATTTGTTGTGTGTAATTGTTCTCATAAGAGCTACTGCTAAATGTCCTCATCCGCCTCCCTGCTGCCATCATCTGTCGTCTCTGGCAGGTTTTGTACTACTGCCGGGGCATGTTTGGTCTTGCACAGCCGGGCCTCCCAAGGTCTGAGGCAAACACACACAACAATATGGTCATCGTATTTTAATTTTGCAAGCAGATTTTAGAAATGTCTCTTTAAAGCACCTTGGTGCAGAAGGTCAACATTTACCGTGAAGCTTTAAAACAGATGTTTTAAATCAAAGCAATGTAAAATGAAAGAATAAAGGGAGGAAGTTACCAAAAGTTTCACAGGACATGTGCCAGGGTACATGTGTACACAGCTAAACTATCTCCCACCTGCTTAAAATATAGTTTCTCAGAACATTCTGTTCAAACATAATAAAGGTTTGTGAAATTTTGTCTTCTTTCTGTACCAACAGTGCTGGTTTTGTGATGAAATCCATGTATTCTACCATATGGAAGTTGGAGGTCAACAAAATCTACTGGAAAGGTGAAAAATCCGTGATTTCTCACTAGTTTGACTTAGAAATCCAACATGGCTACCTTATGCATAAACAGTTTAAATAGCTGCAGTAACATGTTGATTTCAAACCTTTGTCAGTTTGTATCTCAATAAACCAGTTGCACACATAGTAAGTAAAGGCTTTTTCTCACCACTATGCACCTGTTTCAAGGCCTAATTTAGACCTAAGAATCAGATCTGGGTTCTAGTTCAAGAGTTGGTGTTCAAGTTTCGAAATAAAATTAACAAATGTATGACAGGGAAAAGGAATTAGATGAACACTTGCCTAAGGTCACCACCGGGGGCAGCATAGTGAGAGGAAGACTGTCCAGCTGTAAAAACGGCAGCTTAACAGCTTTATGCTCGAAAAATACAAATCAGGGGATGTACAACTGGAATACAGCAGAGACAAACTGGGACCAATTAAGCAAATTTTAATTGGTCCTGTTGTTTGGACTCAGTAAGGGGTGTAAAACCAGGATGTTTGAGCTGACTGAGCAGCTGATGCCTGGTGACCCAGATTGGCATGTTTTAATTTCTATTAATTTTGATTATATGTAAGATGATCGTTGATCATTTGGCTACTGTAAACAACATGACTGAGTCACCTAGAGCTGCGGGGGGATTCATCGTAAGCTCCTACAGTCTGTCCTTTATGAATCAGCTCTTACTAGAATCAGCTGTCATGATTATTGTTCTTCATTGTTTCTGATAGCAGGACCGTTAGCTGCCAGTTAGGAGCGCAACCCTCCTTTTCCTGCCAATGCGGCTCCATATTACTCATCAGTTTCTGCTTAACCTTCGAGGATAACAGGACCGATCATTCATCACATGTTTATCTTTGTAACATGGATTTATGGATCTCTGAGCTAAGGCTGGACACCGTAAGCAGAGAGGTTCTGCTTCCACATCAGAGATGTGACACAAACTGATCGGTTCCTGTATATGCTCACAATATTCTTTAATGGTCACACAAAAACTCGGCAGCGCAAAGTTTTAGCATTTTTTAACAAACAAAAGCAAGCCAAACAAATGCTAGCAACGTAGGTTTTATCCTCCTTCAACGTCCTTTTCCATTTATGGTGAGTCTGAGTGTTTTCACCGTCCGGCTCAAAAATTCAGTTAAAGTAATTTTTACCAAATTTCATCAAAAACTCATCAACATGTTAGATATGTGTTCATTTTATTCTGCCCTGTTCATTTATTTGCTTTGTGGTGAAAACAGACAGCTGCAGAAAACCTTACGCTTCAATTACTAACAGTAATAGCTCCAGTCAAACAAACTGACTGTTTTCTGACCTGCAGCTGGATCATTGTGATTCAGAACTCTGGGGTGAAGGTTCACCTTCAAGCAGGACAACTACCACAGAGATACAGTGGGATGTCATAGAGGTATTGGTAGAGATGTCAAAGAAATGAAGTGATCTAGAATGAATGTTTGAGGTTCAAGAATCTCCTGCAGGAGTTCTGGGTTGGGTTCAGGTTGAAACTCTCCACAGTTTTGATATTGGGTTCTCTCAGCCTACAGATCCCCTGTGCTGGTGCTACATGTTTTGGGTTCACTGCCCTGAAAGAAGCTCAGATCTGCTTGTGGAAAAGGTTTTCTGTCGCCACTCTAATGGTACCAGTCCTCACAAGAACTTAGGTCTTGAACCTACCGAGTCATTGGTTCCTTTT